GCTGCCCTACTCTGAGCCCTTCCTCACCCCTCAACCTTCACTCTTGCAGCCCCCCACATCCTTAAGGCCCTGTCCTGAGTCCTGCACCCAGCCCCTCCCCCCCACACACACACTGCCAGCCCCCTGCCCTGAAGGACCCAGGCAATACCACCTAGTCTTCTAGTCTTCCATACAAATGCCATGGGCACATTACAATTGCTCTGAAAGAGGGCTCATTTTGTGAGGAGACCAAGGGATCTTAAGGTGTGCTGCTTCTCTTTTACCTCATTCCCTTGGAGTTTGTACTGTAGACCTAGGGAAGCATTCCCCCATTTCTGAATGTCTTTTAGAGGCTACACCCTCTAATTGCAAGGGCTGAATTTATCAACCACAGTACAAGCAGAATGATCATTCAGGAACTGAGTTTCAACTTGCAGAATTTCCATTCCTTTCTATGGGGTTTTCCAAGAACAGATGATTTGGCTCTTTAATTTGAAAGCCACCTACTCTGACTTTTTTTCTCAAGAGCGTAGAAACTTTTTGAGCATCAAATTCTGTGCTTTGCTGTGAAGTGGGTGACTCACTTTACTATTAGCATGTGGGCATAGTTAAAGAAAAAATGAGGTTTTCACACAAGTTTCCAATATTGTTGTGGCATGAAATCTCTTCATGTACATATGAGGAATGTTTGACAACTTATATTTCTTCAGATCCCAAGTCAACAACAACAAAAAGTAGTCACCATGAATTATATTCCCAGAACAACTTTGTCAGTAATTTACAATGCTGTTATATGAATTCAGCTAAAAAAATCGTTTCAGTTTCACTGCAGAGAAATGCCTCATGTTATCTTTCAGATCTCATTTCTTTAAAAAAACAAACTCTCCCCAAGATTTTGCTAGAAAGGTGAAAGTACACATTTAAGCAGAATTTCCAAACGATTTTGGTACAAGAAAATAGCTAATACAATTAGAAAAATATGTTTAGAGTAATGCAATTTTCCATTCATTATAAATTGTACACAGCTTTATATATGCATGTTTCATACAAGTAACATGAACAAAACCGAATACTTATTATGATGAAAGCCTGCTTGGGTAATATGTAAACTTTTGTTTATATTTCACATACATGCCATCCACTGACTTTACCAAGACACCTTGCTTAAGTATATAGGACTAGAAGGGACTTCCTGAGTCACTGAATCCAACTCCCAGCTATTTAAGTCAACCCCGTTGTGATGAATGGGAGTGGTATTACCTTTTTCTGGACAGCCCAGCCATTCAGTTAACTACATTGCCTGTAAGGGTTAAACCCACAAACAGTGGGTCCTAGAGAGTCTCTAGGAATGCTAGGGAAGCAGGAAGGATTGACAGGAAGCCAGTAGAGCCAATGAAAACAGTGTGTGGATTTTTGAATTGGAAACAGTGATCTTCCGGTGGCAGTCTTTGTGTGACCAGAGCAGAGCTAAGAGAGATGAGTTAAGCAAGGAAGCAGGGCATTGAGGATTCAATGACATCCATGCCTTGGGAAGGACTAAGCCTTGGAACAACAGATATGTGAGTAGAACAAGGAATATTTGGTCAGATGTGATCAGGTTATTTCCTTTATTTGGGGATTTGTTGGACTTCTCTGTGCAGAGCCCCTGTGACCCCAGTACACTGCAACTTTTAAACTGAATCCCAGGAAAGCAGAAAGCATATGCCCTAATAAATCTGTTAGTCTTAAGGTGCCACAATTCCTCACTGTTTCTGTGTTTTTAATATTTCTTTTGTTCAGTAGCTCCGTAACACCTAGCAACCAAGTATGTTTTTTCAAGTACGTTTTCTTTGTTATGTTAATAAAAAATCAGTTTTTTAAAGACCATGATTTGATTCCTGTGTCCTAGAAATCAGGAGGTTCTGTGGACACATGCCTAAAACTGCAAGGTCAGTTATTAAGAAATTACAGGTTGTTTTTTCAAGCTCTCACCAGAGGGAGGGTTAAAGAGCTTATCAGGAATGCATTCCCAAGTGTGTCTTCCTAGGTTCTTGAAGTGCCAGAGTGGGGAACAATCTTGACACTTGTCATATAATGCCAATCATATATTTAATCAAACACCATCTTAAAACTACATTGTCTGCCTCCAGTACCCCATGGGAAAGCTGTTCCAGAACCTCACTCCTCTGATGGTTAGCAACCTTTTCTAATTTCCAGACTAAATTTATTCATGGTCAGTTTATATTTATTTGTTCTTATGCCAATATTGGTTATTAGTTTAATAGCTCTTCTCCTTCCCTGTTGTTTACTTCTTGATGTTCTTCATAGATACAATCATGTCCCCTCCTACTCTTCATTTTCCTAGGCTAAACAAGCCATGCTCTTTTAGTAATGCAGGCCCTCCATTTCCCCCTTTATCCTAATTGCCCTTCTCTGCACCTTTTGCCTTCATTTTTCTTGAACCTGGTGACCAGAACAGTAGAGATGGGGTCTTACCCGTGGTTTGTACAATGGGATTAATACTTCTCTATCTCAATTCGCGGTGCTCCCGGGGCCGGCGTTTACCATGCGCCCAGGCCGACTCCGGCCCCGATGAATGCACCGCGTGCCCGGGGCGCCAGCGGCCAATTCGCGGTGCTCCCGGGGCCGGCGTTTACCATGCGCCCAGGCCGACTCCGGCCCCGATGAATGCACCGCGTGCCCGGGGCGCCAGCGGCCAATTCGCGGTGCTCCCGGGGCCGGCGTTTACCATGCGCCCAGGCCGACTCCGGCCCCGATGAATGCACCGCGTGCCCGGGGCGCCAGCGGCCAATTCGCGGTGCTCCCGGGGCCGGCGTTTACCATGCGCCCAGGCCGACTCCGGCCCCGATGAATGCACCGCGTGCCCGGGGCGCCAGCGGCCAATTCGCGGTGCTCCCGGGGCCGGCGTTTACCATGCGCCCAGGCCGACTCCGGCCCCGATGAATGCACCGCGTGCCCGGGGCGCCAGCGGCCAATTCGCGGTGCTCCCGGGGCCGGCGTTTACCATGCGCCCAGGCCGACTCCGGCCCCGATGAATGCACCACGTGCCCGGGGCCAGGCCAGACCGGAGCACTTGGTGGGCGCACACAAATGGCCCCGCGGGTGCCATGGCGCCCGCGGGCACCGTGTTGGGGACCACTGCTCTAATGGAACTGCCTTGCCACATACATCCTAGGATCACATTTGTGTTTTTCATTTCTGCATCACATTGGTGGCTTATAGTCATCCCGCAATCAACTAATACACCCAGAACTTTGTCCTTTTCCATCACTTCCAATTGATGAGACCTTGTCCTATAACAGAATTTCTTGTTACTGGTCCCTAAATTCATGATCTTGGATTTATTATTATTATTTTTCATCCCATATCTATTACTCCAAACCACAAAGCAAGCAGGATTTGGACCAGATTCATTAAAAAAACCCTTAGTTTTTTAATGCTAGTTTCCTATTCCCTCTTTAAATATTCATAGGAGATATATCATGTATGTAGTTCTATATCATATGCTTAGGGATGCTTTTCACAACAAATTTTTTTCTGGGATGAAAAAGGACATTCTATTTCCCTAAAATGTTACAGATTTGTTGTACTGGTCTGAAATTACTACTATAATGCCAATGTAAAAAAGGGACAGACTACTTTTACAGTACATTTAGCTATTACATAAGCACTTCAGCTGCCTCTCTGATTAGTGTTACCAGAGAAGCTGCCTGTAGAAATCACATTTAGAGTTTATAGTAGCATTGTGATATACACAGAGATGGGGGAGCTGTCAGAATTGCTGGGCCCCTGGGCAAGGTAGCGGAGGCAGCCTGGAACTCCTGAAAGGAGCAGGGCCTCAGATGGACGGGTGGGACTGGGTTGCATGGACTGCACTTTGCCCTGCTCCTAGCCAGCCTGTAGCACCGCCTGGAGTGCTCCGGTGGTAATTTAAAGGGCCCAGGTCTCCAGCCATTGCTGAAGTAGGGGTGGGGGCAGTCAGGAGCCCTGGACTCTTATGAATAGCAGGCCCAAAGCAGTTGCCCTCTTTGGGTCCCCAATACAGAGATATAATGTATTCCAAGGATCAGATAATTGCTAACGTGGTATTTTCATCATGATGGCTACAGCTTTTGCAAACAGCATATATTTAAACAAAACCAAGTAAATATAATTGCTTTGCTTGAAGCTGACCCAAGTTATTTATAGTAATACTGCAAACCCCAGAATCTTTGTTCAACATGTTGAACTTACCTATCAATAGAAAAGAATGAAACAGAAAATTAAGAGAGCAAAAAAAAAAAATGTATATACTTTGCACTGTGGCCTTGTGATGGGACCTATACATTCGGCACTGGAACTGAAGAGGCTAAGGAGTGGCTCTGACCAGTTGCACGTGCAGAGCTTGCACTCGCTAGAGGTGGAGCTTAAGGGATCGTCAGTTCAGAAATGGCCTGACAAATCAGGAAGAAGTACCTGCCTTGGGCATGCCTGAAGAAGGATGCTGCAAAAACCACCTCTGGAGGAGGAGGAGCCTGCCTAATGAGTCCAGAGAGACTGACGATACAATTGATAACTTTTCTCTTATTAGTTTGAGACAGACTGGAAACCTTTGAAAAAAGAGTGGGTGGTAGGTATTGAACCAAGAGGCAGACTTCAGGAACTCCTGGATGCTGGACATTTGGTAATAATTATAGGCCCTGGGCTGGAGTTCAGTGGAGTGGAAGAGGCAGAACACCACTCCCAACTCCTCACCTTATTAAGAATCCCTCAAAATCCCTCACTTTTTAGACTCACCTCTGGAAGGACAGAAGGAAGGAAAGGGAAAGTTACTCACCTTGTGCAGTAACTGGAGTTCTTCAAGATGTGTCCCTGTGAGTGCTCCACTTAGGTGTGTCAGTGCTGTTGCGCACATGGCCCAGAGATCTTTGCTAGCAGTCCCCTGGTCGCTCGCGTGTGCTGCACTATTGTGCAATAGCCCCAGTTGACAGATACACGCTGGCGGCCGTTCCCTCCATTCCGTCTCTACACCGCACTGTGTTAGCCTGGGGCAGAGGGTAGGAGGGTGAATGTGGAGCATCCATGGGGACACATCTTGAAGAACTCCAGGTACTGCACAAGATGAGTAACCTTCGCTTCTTTGAGGGTCACCGTGGGTGCTCCACTTAGGTGACTACACAGCAGTGTTCCGCCTTGGTTGTGGGCGCTCCATAATGCAGGACTGGATGTAGGACAGAACCGTACATCCACATCTAGTGCCTGAGTCATGAAAGGTCTGAATAGTGTAATATTGCACATAAGTATTGGCCAAAGCCCATGTTGCTGCCCTGCAGATAATGTCTATGGGTAGGCCCTCAAGGAAAGCGGTTGTGGTAGATACTGCTCTCATAGAGTGCGCCCGTATAACTGTTGGTGGCTGTCTGTTTCTCTGGGAGTAAGCCAACTGTGTGCATGTAGAAATCTATTTGGATATTCGCTGTTTGGAGACAGGTTGACCTCTGGACCTGTCCACGCAAGATGCGAATAGTCTGGGTGTTCTCTGGAAGTCTTTTGTGCAATCCAGGTAAAAATCGAATGCCCTGTGTACATTCAGTGTATGCGGTGCTGCCAGGTTGCTGTCCTTGTGTGGTTTCGGGAAGAACACAGGTAGGTATATTGGTTCATTACAATGGAATGAGGTAGGTATCTTTTGGAGGAATTTCGTGTGGGTTCTAAGGACAACCTTGTCCTTGTGAATATGGTGTACAGTGGGTCCGCCATGAGTGCTGCTATCTCTCCCACTCTCCTGACCATTGTTATTGCAATGAGAAAGGCTACTTTCATCAATAGGTGTAGTAGTGAGCAGGTTGCAAGTGGCTTGAAAGGCCGTCTCATGACTGAATCCAGCATTAGGTTCAGATCCCATGATAGCACTGGATCTCTGTGTGGTGGATACAGATTCTGTATCCCTTTGCGGTATCTCTTAGCGCACGGGTGGGAAAAAATGGAATACCCTTGTATGGGTGGGTGAATCGCTGATATAGCTGCTAAGTGTACGTTGATGGAACTAATTGATAGTCCTGTGTCCTGCAGGTGAAGGATATGTTCTAGTATGTCCAAAATCCCCACCCTGTGTGGATCATGTGCTCGAGCTGAATTCCAGGCCGCAAATCTGGCCCACTTGTGCAGGTAAGTTCGTCTAGTAGTGGGTCTCCTGGAATTAATTAGGATGTCTTTGTCCCTTCGAGACAAGGTTAGCTCTTTGTGTGAGAGACAACAAGCATCCAGGCTTGCAGGTTTAGTGTATGTAGCCCGGGGTATGGTATATGCCCCCTGTCCTGAGTCAAGAGAGCTTGTACTGGGGGAAACTTGTTCGGCTGACGTATGCTGAGTTAGAGTATGGTAGGGTACCAAATTTGTCTCGACCAATTGGGGGCTACAAGTAAGACCCTTGTTGCCTCCTGTTTGACTTTTATTACCATTTGATGTATTAGAGGTATAGGTAGAAATGCATATGCCAGGGGGAAGTCCCAGTGTATTGCAAACTCATCTCCGAGAGATCGCAGTCCAATGCCCATACTGGAATAATACTGGGGGCACTTGGAATAGATGTGCATTGCAAACAGGTCTATAACCGGGTATGCCCATCTCCTGACAAAATTGTTTATGATAGATTTGTTGATCTCCCATTCATGGTTCTGTGGGAATTGTCTGCTGAAGGCATCCACTAGTACATTGTCCTTGCCCAGCAAATTCATAGCGGTAGGTATGACGTGTATAATATACTGTTGGCATAGTTTCAATGCTTCAGCGCATAGGCTGCAAGATGTCCCACCCTCCCCCCGCCTGTTTATGTAATATATCATTGCAACATTGTCCAACAACATCCTTACAGTTTTGTTCTGTATGTGCGGAAGCAGTTGGGAGCATGCCCTCCTCACTGCTCTGAGCTTCAGCACATTGATGTGAAGCCGGGACTCTTCACTTGTCCATTATCCCTGTAATATCACACTCCCCAGATGGGCTCCCCATCCCAGCAAGGACACGTCTGTCATGATAGTGACGGATGGCGTTGGCATCTGAAATGGAAGTCCTATACAAACGTTGTTTAAGTCTGTCCACCAAACTAGGGTGGCTTTGACCCAGCTGGGCACATGAAGTATCTTGTGGAGTGGGTTATACCTGGGGCAGTACACAAAGGCTGTGTCTACATTGGCATCCCTTTCCGGAAAAGGAATGCTAATGAGACACTTCGGAATTGCAAATCCGAGGGGGATTTAAATATCCCCCGCGGCATTTGCATTTACATGGCTGCCGCTTTTTTCCGGCTCGGGGTTTTTGCCAGAGAAAAGCGCCAGTGTAGACACGATTTTCTGGAAAATAAGCCCTTTTCCGGGAGAAAATAAGCCCTTTTCCTTTTCAAGTAGGAATAAGGGATCTCCCGGAAAAGGGCTTATTTTCCAGAAAATCGCGTCTACACTGGCGCTTTTTTCCGGCAAAAACCCCGAGCCGGAAAAAAGTGGCAGCCATGTAAATGCAAATGCCGCGAGGGATATTTAAATCCCCCGCGGATTTGCAATTCCAAAGTGTCTCATTAGCATCCCTTTTCCGGAAAGGGATGCCAGTGTAGACACAGCCAAAGTGTAGCCATGCCTGGAATGGCCTCATATGTAGATGGGCGTTCGGGACCACAAACGTGGACGCTGCCATGTGTCCAAGTATTTGCAGGCATGTATGTGCTGTGGTGTGTGCGCCACTCTATACGGACACGATCAAGTCACACATTCTTGACCATCTGTGAGTTGGCAGTGAGGCTATGCCCCGAGTGCAGTCCAACTGTGCCCCTAAAAACTCCAGCATCTGGGTAGGAGTGAGGGTGCACTTTTCCAAATTCAGTAGGAGTCCGAATGTGTTGAATAACGCTCTTGCTGACTCCAGTGATTGTTCCATGTCATCATAGGTGGACGCCATGATCAGACAATCGTTAAGATATGGAAATACGTTTGGTTTTTTTGCAGGTATGCAGCTACCACAGACAGAACTTTGGAAAAGACCCTGGGGGCTGAAGACAACCCGAAGGGGAGCACCCTGTACTGATAGTGTAAGTCCTTGATGGTGAACCTGAGGAATCGTCTGTGAGCTGGGTGAATAGATACATGAAAATATGCGTCCTTGAGGTCGAGGGTAGCTAGCCATGCTCCTTTCTCCAAGGCAGGTATGATCTTTGCCAGCTTGATCATCTTGAACCGTTGATACTTGACGAACTGGTTGAGTGCATGTAGGTCCAGGCTGGGCCTCCACCCCCCGATTTCTTGACAGAAAGTAGCGGGAATAAAAACCCCTTCCTCTATAGCAGTTGGGTACCTCCTCTATAGCGCCTAGTTCTAGGAGGTGCTGCGCTTCGTCCAGGAGGACCAACTCATGAGAGGGGTTCCTGAAGAGGGACAGGGAAAAGGAGAGGGTTGATGGAACTGATATGAATGGCATGTGGTATCTGGTTCCTATTATTTCTAGGACCCATTGGTCTGAAGTGATGGTTTTCCATGATGGGTAGAATGCAGCGAGTCTGTTTCCAAATATTTGTTTGCTTGGTTGTACCTGTCCTGGAGAACCAGGGGCTTTTGTATTCTCAACCAAATCCTCAAATTTGCTGACGCAAGGTGGATGCCTGGGTCGATGATTGCTCATTTGACTGTCTTTGTCGAGTCTGTCTCATATGCCTTTTGTTCTCATAAGGTCTGTGTTGTTGTGTATACCCTGATGTTCTGAACCGCAGCTTAAATTGTTTGTATTGTTTCCTCTTGGCTGTAAACAGCTGTATCCCTAGTGTGTGGAGCGTCACCCTGGAGTCCTTCAATGGTAGAGAGCTGAGTTTGTAGCCTCTGCAAAAAGCTTCTCACCCTTGAATGGGAGATCCTCAATATTTGATCGAACATCCCTGGGGAACCCCGACAGCTGCAGCCATGATATCCATCTCAAGGCTACTGCAGATGCCATTGACCTGGCTGCTATGTCCGCTGCATCTAATGCAGCCTGTAAAGCTGTTCAGGAAATCAATGAGCCTTCTCTGATATTTGATTCGAACTGCTCCCTCACACCTTCTGGTATATATTGAATAAAGGAATTGAATGATTCAGCCGTGTTGTGTGACTATTTCGCTAGTACAGCCACATAATTCACAATTTGAAGCTGGAAGGAGGCTGAGGAATAGGCTTTCTTCTCCATAGCGTCCAGCCTTTTTGTCTCTTTATCATGACTTGGTGCTCGGGGGTACCGTCATTGCTTCCCCCTCTTGTTGGCTGCTTCGACCACTAGTGAATTAGGGAAAAGGTGAGAGAAGAGGATTTCGATGTCTGTGCGGGTGACAATATTTCTTATCTAGTTTTTTCTATATTGGAGGCACCGATGCTGGAGTTTTCCAGATTAACTTAGGTGGATCCATCGATGCTTCGTTCAACGGTAAAGTCAGCCTGGTATATTGAGGTAAGGTGAGTATGCTCGTGAGTTCGTGTTTGGTCTGAGTTACATCAGAGAGTTTTATGGCAAGCGTGTCTGCTACTCTCCTAAACAAGTCTTGGAACCGTCTAACGTCATCCCCTCTGACTGGTGACGCGGGGAGACTGTGTTCCTCCATCGTGGAATAGGAATTATTGGGCGGAATAGAGGAAGCCTAAGTTGCATCCTCCATAGATGACTCACTGTCATGGCTGGTTTGGTCCCAGTCAGCTCATCTTCGGGTATTCGAATGAGCTGATTGTGCCCCAGGGACCTGCATAGTGTATTGAAACTGTTGGGTTCGGTAAGGTGCCCAAAGGTCCCAGTAGGCCCATTGTGAGGGCATTGGTGGGGGCATCCATTGTGCCATCTGCCACTTTTGCCTTTGCTGTTGTTGTGGTTCCACATATAGAGGGACTCCGTGCTGGTCCATTGACTCCTCCTCCTCGTCATCACTAAATCTGGTGGAAGTTTGTGAGGCTGGTGTCGAGGAGAACAGGGAACCTCTACATCTTGGGGTGCCATCGGTACCAAACAGACGTAAGCACAGTACCGATCCTACTGCGAGGTCCGCCTCTGTCATGAACCTCAGTACCGGAGTATGCAGACGCATTGCTGTGTAGTTCTATGCAGCTGCCTGTGTCGGTACTGTTGGCTCTTTGAAGTGTGTTGGTACCAGTGCTACCGAGCATTTGTTCAAGAGCGGCAGTCCACTGCTCTGCAGCTTGCCAGCTTGCTTACTCCTCCACGGTTCCGTGTCTCCCAATAGTTCCGCGTTACTGTGTGGAGAGCTTGAAGCATAGCCAGCAGCTCCGTGCTTCATACTAGGGCCACGGCTTTTCTTAAAGCCGGATCCCTTATCCCACTTTTGGGAGCCCTGCCTGGTGGCATTCTTATCAGTCTCCTTTGACTTTTTGTTTGCTAGAGGCTGAGGCTCAGCGGGGGACCCGGAGTGTTTCTCACTCCGGGTCCTGCTCTCTAGCACATCCCTGCGCGGGAGTGCTCCTCCTGCCCTCCTCCCCAAGAGGGTTATCTCTGGGGGAAGCGGGTTGAATGAGGCTACGACTCAGTCATGTTGTGGTCCAAAAATAATACTCGTCTTTGTAGATCTCTTGCCTTCTTAGAGCGTGAGGCAAGCTTCTGACAGTGCGGGCAGTATGGTCTTGCTCTAGGCAGCGCAGGCACTGCTCATGTCCGTCTGCTGCTGCAATTGCTGTCCCACATCCTGTGCACCTTTCAAAGCCCAGTGATGTGGGCTTAACAGATTTTTGTGTGTGTGTTGTCCTTTGCGCGAGCAGGATGTGGCAGATGCGCCCTTTTCTTTCTGTTGGCATCTTTTCTTCTTTCTTTCTTCTTTCTTTCTTCTTGTTTTTTTCTTTTGATGCTGTTAGGGAGACTGACTAAGTGCAACCGATGCTGGCAGCAGTTGAGAAGAAACTGAGAGAACAGCCACTGGCACGTGCCTAACTATCAATCGGGCAATTTCATAATTGTGCAGCACGCACGGGCACATCATACCCTCTTAATAATGAGCTATATCAACATTCCTGAACAGGCATAATACTAAATCATGATGCACATCCAATACCATCTGTTGGGAGTATCTCTCCATCGTGGACAGTTCTAACTCATTTATCCCCACAAGATGAGTCCTGTGCAGCTTATAAGAAAGCACTACAGTGTCTACAAAAGGCTATAATCTTTTTATTACCCTCTCCCTTCTCTGGTGGATATTTTGGTTTGATTATATTTTACTATTTGGGGCTTTTAAAAAAAATCTGATGCACTATAAGCTCTTTATAACTCCTCCAGACAAATCACACATTTCTGAATAATACAACTGATTAGATTATAATAGCTAAAAATTTCTGTAGTAGGATCACTTATTAGATATTGCCTTCTCTAGCAACTACATAACAATGTGTATTTTAAAGCAAGAAACATAGAAATTTGCCTCTCAAAGAATCTTCCCCTTCCCTCTAACCCCTCCCTCCACCACAGTCAAAACAGTCAATGCTCCACTGACAATATCCTCTATACAATAGTCCTTCTTAGTTGATATAAAGCCAATGTAAGGCTCTGTATCAGCCCTGTGATTTGAGGTGGATCATTGGTGAGCTGAAGGTGTGGATGGAGTAAACTGCAGGACAGCTATTCTCTGATAGTCATTGATGGTCATGGGAAACAGAGCATCATTTATACAACTTCTGAGGCTGCTCTACATTAGGGGCCAGAAAGTTTCCTAGAATTCAGGGAAAGTATTTACCAATAACTTTCCAGAAGAACTCTTAGGGGATTTTCTTTTAAAAATGTGTTATAACTTACTTGCCTTCTTTTTGTCAAATATTAGCAATTGGCATAACAGATATTGGAAAATACCATTTTGCAAGCTTTTTTTAGAACGAAAAGTGAGTTGGGTCAGATTTAATCTCCTAATCACAATATATAGTACATATTGGAGGCAACGATTTTACATGCAGCCAAACCATCAGATACGTATCATATACAACAAAAATGCCTCTGTTATATTCTTAATTTCACATTCAGATTAATAGATTATATGAAGACAGTAACTGGTGTTGATTTAGATATGGACAATATTTTGCTTCTAATTCATTGGATATTATTCAACACATGGAATGAAAGAAAAGATAATATAAAGCTGGACACTCATATTTAAAGTAACTTTGTTTTGTTTAGATAAGTTTTTTTTTTAATTGAATAACCCATACAAGATAGACCAGTCTTGAAACTTAGTCTCTGTTGTTCAGCAACACAATGCAGCTTTCGCTATACACAGGTATTTGTGCTTCAATCTTCTTGGATTAACATAATCAGGATTATAAAGAATTATAGGTAAATTAATGCAAAACACTATGTAATTAAGCTCTCAGTCAATGCTCAATGTGCGGCCTTTATTTTCTCCCTTTGCACATATGCAGTGCCATACAGTTTCTAGGCCTGCTCCTGCTACACCCCAAATCAGGCCTGGGAAGAGGCTGTCAGCAGGTCGGATCCAGCCCACCTAGCTCTTTTATCTGACCCGTGTGGCAGTTCCAGGCCCTGCCCCCTCACACATTGCCTGGGAGCCAGGGATGTAGGAGCCTTTTCAACTGTATTGCCTGGCAACCACGGGAAAGGTGCAAGCCCTTTAAATAGAAAGAATTGGAAGTGCTCGCAGCTTCTGGCACCGCCACATTGCCTGGGAGCTGCAGTCCTGGGAGGCGCAAGCCCTTTCACTTCTTTCTATTTAAAGGCCCTGCCCCTTCCATCAGAAGCCCTGCCCCATCCGAGGTGCTCTGCAACCACTTTCAAAATTGTTGAAGTGGCCCCCCGCTTCAAAAATTATTGCCCATCCCCATCCAAAATGGTCAGAGGGATTATTGCCAAGCAATTTAAATTCCTGTCCCCACAACCAGAGGCTGAGCATTCTGCCTTTTCAAAATTACCTGCTGAAATAAGTGGGACATTTTTGAGCTCTGATTATAATGATAGGGCATCTAGCGATCTTTGGAACACATTGCTGTATTTAATTAGGCTTCTATTTACTCTTAACAATCAGGTTGCCTCTTAGAATGATTCTGATCTTCTATTACGTATATTATCACAAAAGTTTCACTATGCTGTTCCAGGTGCCCTTTATGAACAAATTACTACTAAGTGAACTGATCTATCACTATGGTGTTTAATTTATACAATGGAAACACAATGATTCATCTTAAAATTGTCCTCAGATTTTTCTTGCTACATCTATTGTGAATGCCTAAAAATTGTCAAGGCATATTTAGATATTCTTTACAATTTAATGCAAGAAAACAGGGTTTGTGTGATATAAGTAGGGTTGCCAGGTGTCCAGTTTTGAACCGGACAGTCCAGCATTTGAGCTTTCTGTTCAGGAAACAAATTGAGAAAATATAAATGAGAAAATATAAATGTCCAGTATTTTCTAACTAAGATGTAATGTAGGCTGTGATGTAATGTCAAGTGTGTCCAGTATTTTTGTTGAAATCAACTGGCAACCCTAGATATAAATACCAGCTAAAATCACTCACTTCTTAATTCTGTCTTTGTTCTCCATCTCCTTTTAAATTGCATTCCCCCCAGGATTTGCAGTTTAGCAATTTCAAATAAAGTCTAGTCTAACATTTGAATGAAATGTCTGTTGTATGAAAATCTCCATTATATTGCCTTAGGAATATTGCCAGATTACATCTCCACTTCATTTATGCTGACGCACAGTTCTTTATTCAGACCTTTGTGTCATCTTGTTTAGACTATTGTTGTAGGGCCCTTTTATGCTGTTTTCCCCTGCATGCCATTAACAGACCTTAGCTGGTACAAAATGCCACAGCTAGAATTCTGCTTGGCATCTAACAGTTAGGGCAAACCTCCAGTTTTGATCAATAGATACTACATAAGTGTTCTTATTATTTGCTTGCAACTCAATGACTTCCAGCTGCAGTTCATCTGGGCAACTGGCCACATCTGCTTCAAATGGGTTTTGAAACAATCTCACTTCTTCTGCCTTTGAATCAAAAAAAGGTCTCCACGGGCCGGATGAGAGGGCCTCGCGGGCTGCATCCGGCCCCCGGGCCGTAGTTTGGAGACCCCTGATCTAGATAATCTGTAGTATGTCAGGAAGCTATGCAATGCTACCCTATTGAGATTTTTGATCAGAAAGATTAAACAAAGTAAGCAAACATTTGAAACCAGAAAAGAAGCTTTATTTCCAGTCTAGATCTAACCTCCTCAGCTCTCCAAACTGGGCTGAAAAACAAGCACTTTCTGAGGGAATGTCTACACTACAGCACTAATTCGAATTAACTTAATTTGAATTAGTTAATTTGAACTAAGCTAATTCGAACTAGTGCATCTAGACCTAAAAACTAGTTCGAATTAGCATTTTGCTAATTCGAACTAGCATGTCCACATAGAGTGGACCCTGAACCGAGGTTAAGAATGGCCGGAAGCAGTGCCGGCAGGGCATCAGATTAGGACTTAGAGCGTGGAGCTGCTGCCTCAGGCTAGCCGAGGGCTGTGCTTAAAGGGACACGACCCCCACCCCGGACAGACAGTTCTCAGGGGTTCCCCGCTTGCAAAGCAGTCCTGGCTTGGAGTGCCCTGAGTGCCCACACTCGGCACATCACAGCACTCGGCCATCAGCCCGGCTGCACTTGCCGCAGGCTGCCATCCGGGGGCGGGGTCAATCGGGGGGCTGCAGGAGAGCTTCCACCCCGAGGAGCCTGCAGAGCCACCCCAGTCCTCCCCATCAGGGGCTCCTACCCCACTCCTCTTGCAAAGCAGTCCTGGCTTGGAGTGCCCTGAGTGCCCACACTCGGCACATCACAGCACTCGGCCATCAGCCCGGCTGCACTTGCCGCAGGCTGCCATCCGGGGGCGGGGTCAATCGGGGGGCTGCAGGAGAGCTTCCACCCCGAGGAGCCTGCAGAGCCACCCCAGTCCTCCCCATCAGGGGCTCCTACCCCACTCCTCCCTCACCTCCTTCCACTTACCCCTCCCTAGCCCCCCTTCCTGATGTACAAAATAAAGGACACGTGTGTTCAAAAATAGAAACTCTCTTTATTGAACAAAACTCGGGGAGACTGGGAAAAGGAGGTGGGAGAGGAGAAGAGAGAGGGTGGGAGAAGGGAGGGCAACTCAAATGATCAGGGGTTTGGAACAGGTCCCATATGAAGAGAGGCTAAAGAGACTGGAACTTTTCAGCTTAGAAAAGACAAGACTGAGGGGGGATATGATAGAGGTCTATAAAAGCATGAGTGGTGTGGAGAGGGTGCATAAAGACCTGGGCAGGCTCCCAGGAGCTGCCAGCCTGGTCCCGGGAAGAGGCGGAGGGCTGGGGGGCAGGGGGTGGCT